ACTATAAGAGAACCTTAAGAACTACTCTAAGAAACTTAAGAAGTTTTATTAGTAGCACTAACTCTAAAACCTAGAGACTAGAACTCTAAATTCTCTAGATAACTCTAGTTAAAGAACTAAAAGAGATTAACTAGAGAGATAGAAGGTTATAACTATAAGAATTACTAAGCCTTACGCTCTAACTACTTTAGCTTCTTAATGTTAGCTAGATTCTTTAAAAGTAGCGTGTTGCGATAACGCTATACTAGATCTAACTACTTCTAAAGGTAATTGCTACGCGCCTTAGTAGACTACTACGATTTAGTAAGACGCTTTACCTTAAGACTAGCCGCAGACTACTAAGAACGCAGGTTAGCTAATAGCTAATCTAGCTTCTCTATCTTCTTTAAGTCTAGCACCTTATTATAAGACTAACTCTTCGTAATATACTCTAAGTAATAGCTAGAGAATACCTCTATAACGTAACGTAGGTTATAGAAATAATAAGCGCTATAGAGGTTATTAGATATATTAGCGCTAGTACGTAGAATAAGGTTAGTATAATAGCGGCGATAAACTATTAAAGACTTAGTACAAGTAGGCGGTATAGTAAGAATAGAAGAGAAAGAGAGAATATAATACTATAGAACTATAGGTAATACTACTCTTATATAAAGATAGTATAAATTAACTAAATACTATACCTAGAAATAGAATAGAGCTTTAGAACAACGCTTTAGAAGAAGAGGTAGATGTTATAATTATAGAATTAGAAATAGAGTTAGCTAGCTAGAATAGAGAAGATAGTAGGCTAAGTTTAAGATTATAGAGTAAAGAATTATATAAGAAGTTACGAGAGTAATTAGAGCTACGTAATATAGATTAGATAGATTAGATAGAGCTAGGTAGATTAGGTCTAATTTATAGAAGCTAGGTCTTAGTACCTAATCTAGCTAAGAAGGTATATATATATAACTAGAAGAAGCTTACTTCTTATAGCTTCTTATAGTTATTACTTTGTTTATTAAATTACTATAGAGACTTGCGATTTATAGTATTATTACCTCTACCCCTTTGTTACTAAAGATTCTAGCCTAAAGTATACCTCTTACCTTCTTTTATAAAAGTAAGCTCTAGTCTTAGTTAAGAGAATAGCTCGTAATATTATGCTAGAACTAGAGCTAGAAGAAACCTCTTTAGTAAAGCGGTAAAGGTCGTCTAAGTAATAAGTAGAGAGTCTTCTACTTAATTAAATACCTCTACTTAAGCTAACGCTTTAGCTAATCTCTAGTAGCCTAGACTCTTATTCTAATTCTTATTCTTCTAGAGCTAGTAGTAAGCCTAGTTCTAGGCCTCTTAGTAGTAATAGCTAAGGTAATAGTACTAGAAGCCTAGTTCTATTTCTAGATAGCCTTAATAGAGAAAATAATAATAATAGCGCGTATAGTTAGAAACTAGTTAAGAAGCTACTCTATTTTATAAGATAGTCTATCTCTTCTTTTAAGAGAGTAGAAGATAAAAAGAGTAGAAATAGTAGTAGTAATAAACCTAGAGAAAGCTATAAAGGTAAACTTAGCTAGATTAGTAAGGTATTTAGTAGGCCTCTAATAAAAACCTAATAATAAAGTAAACATAGTAATAGTCTAGTTTAAAGAAGAGAGTATAGTCTATTATAGACTACTTCTAGCTAATAAGACTAAAGCGTAATACCTATAGAGATATTACTAAACGTAATTCTATCTTAATTTTACTAGTTATCTAAGCCTAGAATAGATAGCGTAGCTTAGTCTTACTCTCTATAAATATTCTTTCTAGAGATAAAGATAAGAGAGAAAGCTAGTAATAACTATAGACCTAGCACTAACTATAAATCTAGCGCTAACTCTACTTACTAAATAATTAATCTTATAAATTATCTTATACTAGAAGACTTATTAATAGTAGTAGTAACTATACATTATAGTAAGTTAGATTTATTTCTTAACTTAATAGCTCTAGATTAGTAGCTTCTTAGTAGTAAAGATAAAGTTATTTATAGAATATAGCTATTACTAGATTTATAAATAGTACTAGAATACTAATATAACTATAGTATACTAGGTATATATACTTATAAAAGCTAGATACTACTTAATATAGATTAGAAAAGTAGTCTACTTAGTAATACTACTAGTTATAGCGCTAACTATCTAGATAATAATAATAAGAATAAGAATAAGAATAAAGAGCTTAAGAATAGAGAGAAGAATCTAGATAGACTAAGTACTTATACTAGTAGTAGCTAGTAGCTTAGTAGAGATAATACTCGCCGCTATAGGTAAATATATAAACTCTAGTTATAGTTAAATAAAGCGCGTTTACTATTATTTAAGAATAAGATAGATATAAACTAGAATAAAATAGATTATTACTTAGATTAGATAGTAGCCGCGGTTCTATAGCGCTATAACGCGTTATATAAGAAGCGTCTATAAGACTATTATAAGATTCTTAATTAGAGTATAAATATCTTCTATTAGGTTAAGACGTTAATAACTAGAAGAGGTAAATTTTTAAGCGAAGATCTAAATCTACGAGTAATAAGAATTAGGTATTTAGAGTAGAATGTAGAATTATAAGATATACAAATACGATAGTAATTAGTAGTCGCGGATAATTCTATTTAAATAGACAAAGCCATGGTCTTATTATAACTTCTTTAAACAAGAACTAGTGGTATTGTCTGTTCCTAGGTCTCGGAAAAGCCTAATGTGCAAAAGGGAAGAAAAGAAGGAGAGGGGGGGATTTGACTTTAACCCCTAAACTACGAACTACGCAGTAAGGCGTTCGGTGTGTTCCTTAAGGTAGGGTTATACGTCGGAAGGCTAGAAAGCGTGACGCTGAAAGCATCTAACTCCGCATCTGTAAACTCGCACTTTACGTTCTTATACTCCTCGATAGGGAGGGTAATTATCTTCATCCTCTTTAATTAAACGCAGCATCGTCCTGATTATATGCAAGCTTGGAGTATCGGTCTAGAGATATACTCGGGAGACTCGCTTTACTGATGCGTTTTCGTACAGTATTATCTAGTTATCTATCTAATCTACTGGCGTAGGACTGATATGAGATTAGATTTCTTCTATCGTGCCGAATCTATCCGCGAACATCGAGCTGATGAAAGACCTGCCTGTCGCTGTCTTAAACTGCGACTTATTAGTAGCCTGGCACTTTGAAACGGATGCATATTCTAACTTATCCAAGAATTGCAAACACCCTTCCCATCCCATCGCCATTTAAATTATGCCAGTAATCAAAGGCCTTTACAAGTCCAATACTATAGCACCACGCCCCGCACATGACAAGTATATGCATGATCTGGTGGCCGGATCCTTCTATGTCGAATCTTGCACAGTAGATTGTCGCTCCAGTTCCGTTTACATTCCGAGACCAATAAAGTACGAAAGCCCCATCCGATGGTTGCGCTCTGTGTACCCCATTTATCTTATGTAGTCGCTTTCAATATTAGCTCCCTTCCAAATCATGAGCGTGTGTTGATAGTCAGGCTTCTAGACGGCGAGGCCGGAGCACGATGCCTACGAGGACATCGCCAAACGCAACGCCATCTCAATCCCGTCAGCTTTCTGAGCCCAGAACGAATAGCGCGACTCGGTCTTGCTCCCCACGAGCATCCTCTCTAGGAGCGAAGATGGGAGGGGGGACCAGCAACAACTATAGATCTAGCACCAACACTGCTTACCAGACAATCGATCTCGTGCATTACCACGTGCCGAAAGGCTCGTTAATAATAGTAGCAACCGTGCGTCTCAGCGAGTCGAATTCATATCTCGACCCGATAGCTCTGCATCACAGGCTCCTCGGTGGCGAAGTCGTCCGCCTGATGATCTCCGGCGCTGATCTCAAATTCCTTGATATAGGGCTACCGTCTAATGGTGAAGATAGCTATCCGACCAGCACCGTTTCCAATCCGGTCCGACAGACTCGAGCCACTTAGAAAAAAAGGTGTGGGTAGATTCAGCTTGAGGATGTGGGCGAGGGTGTGGGTCGACGGAGTGGATGGGGTCGACGAATTGAGGAATGAGCCGTATAGGAGGCTAGGAGGTTTAGGCTTGGGTGGCTGCAAATTCGTCTGCGCGATCTTCTCAATTAGTGACAGGCTTGCGTGAGGAAACGTTGTCATACCTTATCTACTTGCTCTGCTTTCTCGTCCTCAACTGTCCGAGTCGATCGAACTCTCTTCACGAGTAGCGGATCGGTATCGGGAGTCGCCTCGAGCCGCCTTTTCGTTGATTGTAGTCCTCGGGTGAGGGCTCTACTCGCTGGAGTTTGCTCTCCGGGGCTCTGCATGAGTTAGCACTTTGTTGTCCCTGCAACAGTATCGTGGTAATAGACTTGGCCAGCGGAATTTGAGTATTAGACGAGCGTCCCGCCTACCAATGTGACGGTCCGAATTAGGATTAGAGGCGCTGCCCCTCTCTAGGCAACAAGACAGCCGGCGCTTGATGAATCGTGACTCATCTTTAGCTTGAGGTCCTAGCCACTAGTGATTTTGCCAAGAGTGGTCATTTACTATACCTGAAGAGCTTAGCGCCTCAGCCAAGACCCTCTCCTCTCCACCCGTTCTCGCGTTCTCACAGTTCGCCCCCTCTACCACTGAACACACCACCACTATAAAGAGACCTCGTCTCGCCCTCCTCGCCGTCGAAATGGCGAACAATCGCGGCAAGCTAGTTTCCCCAAAGCATCGGCAGAAACAAACAAACCCAAGAGATCAAGGTCCGTCTCTCGCTGTTCTCATCCACTGCCACTGACTTGCATAGGGAAGCGCCCTCAGGGTGTCAGGAAATCGGAGGCGCAGGGACCTATCCGCAGGAGCGCCCGCCTCAACCCAGTGCCTAGCGACCGCTCTGGGCAACCACACCCGGCGGAGAAGACCTTGGTATGTCACGTCGTTTCCACGGGTCGAATCACGCTGAGTGTACAGGGTCAATCAACTTCTCCACAGCCCACGGGCCGAAAACGATCGCGCGAAGCCGAACCTTCACCGGCCGACGCCGCAACCGGACCCTCCGCGAAGCGACTGCGTACGTCTGCAGACTTTGCCGCCGCCCGACCGACCGATCGAGCAACGCAATCCAGCAACACCGAGACGCCCCTCGACCCCATTGATTATTGGCGGAAGGAACAAGCTTGGCCTAAGGAATACTTTGAGCCAGATACGATGGCGCATCTGCTCGCAAGGAAGAAGTCCACGCCCTCTCTCCGGCGTAAACGATCAGAGAGTTCTCTCGGCGCTAGCTCTACGACGCCCAGTGATCAGAAGCCGAGAGAAGCCAAGAGCGCCCCATATCAAGACCCTCGGTACAAACTTTTACTTCAAACCAAAGGAAGCTTTATGGACAAGTCGGATTTGGGAATTACAGAAAATAGCAAAGACATGTACTTGGCCTTGCTTTACGCAGAGCAGACGGTCCCTACCAAGTCATTGTTTCGAGACGACATTTTCGAAAGGACTTGCCGAAATATACAAGACAGGAATGAAGCGAGAGTCGTCCAAGATATTACTCGATTAATCGTACCTTCTGCGGAAACGTTGGCTACGTACGGTGCCAGGGAGCTAGACATTCTGATCGAAAGTGTCAACGAAGGCTGGAACAACTCCATTCCGCTAACCGGCACCCGCCCGCAGCCCGACTACTCCGTTGGGTTCAAACGGGAGGCGTTCACGAAAGAGCAGCTGGAGAAGCTTGCGCCCTTCATCGGCGACTTCATCGCCGGCGACCAGTCCTTCTTCATGGCCACGTACTACATGTACTTCCCGTTCCTGACGTGCGAGGTCAAGTGCGGCGCGGCGGCGCTCGACATCGCCGACCGCCAGAACGCGCACAGCATGACGCTCGCCGTGCGGGCCGTCGTCGAGCTCTTCCGGCTGGCCGGGCGCGAGGCGGAGATCGACCGCGAGATCCTCGCTTTCTCGGTCTCGCACGACCACCGGTCGGTCCGGATCTACGGCCACTATGCTGTGATCAAGGGAAAAGACACTACATTCTATCGTCATCCTATCCATATGTTCGACTTCACGGCACTGGACGGGAAAGAGAAATGGACGGCATACAAGCTCACCAAGAGCGTCTATGACGTGTGGATGCCGACCCACTTTAAAAGACTCTGCTCCGCCATTGACGCATTGCCCCAAGAGCTGGATTTTGACGTCGCACCGCTTCCACAGGGCTCTGGGCTCTCGCAGGATTTGGAGTCCCATCATCTCTCGCAGTCCTTTGCGGCATCTCAAACGGGCGATGATGAGAGTCGTAGTGGGGACACCACCCCAAACACCTCGTTTACCCAGGGAGCCTCGAAAAGGCCGAGAAGAAAGCTAGCAGAGTAGAAGCGCTCACAGAAAGGGTGTTGCACTTGTCATTGGTTTCAGCTTTGCGGACTGAGCTGGTAGGAGATTTGTCCGCTTATAAGCCTTTGGGACGTTGGGCTATATTCATTTTGGTTATTTGATAGCATGTTAGATTCTTAACGATGCAGCCAAACGACCTGCAGTGTCTTCTCCTCTGTGCAGCGTGCAGCAGACTTTAGCCTCCCATTTGCCATTTTGTGACCGGTGCGGGATCGGATTCCGGATTCCGGTTCTAAGTTAGCTACTCTCCGACTTGCGCCTTGCCTGCCGGCGGTCTCCGTCTACGAGCGGTTGGTGCGCAGCTAACAACCATGTGAGCTTTGAGAAGCCCGCAGGGGAGTTTAGAGGGCAGGGGTGATGTAAATCAGCCACGAGAAGCACGTAGGATGGAGCATGGGCGCTTAGAGCGCAAGGCCACTTAGAGGATGCGGGGAACCAGAGAATGCGGGAAACCAGAGAATGCGGGCGGTTGGAGAACACGGCGGTTGGAGGAATACGCAACCGTGTCCAGATGCAAGGAAACCGTAAGCGGTACTTATGAGCATGCCGTCGAATATCTCGCGCGGTAAGTAGATTCTACACACTTCGATACTAATACAGGCATCTATTCCGTGCGGGATTGCCGTGCCACTGTGCTAGAACCTATACTCGTAAGCTGGATGTCGAATAGCCAAGTCACTTACCGCGCGGGATCATACCACGTACCTTCACATGGGTCGAAGACCGAAACCGCCCGCGAATCGAGTCGTCGCAAAGGCATCCTTCTATCCCACCTTACTTTGGTATTTAGACACATGACGCGATCTCGTCGCTCGTCCTGATGTGCACGCGAGATAGCCTAGAAGTTCGGTCGAGGCTACGAGTGAGTCCTTTCGTCGAGGCGTGTAAGAAGATCAGATTACCGCCCGCAATCTAGAATAGGATCGGATCTAGTGCTCACGAGCACTATTGCTCACGCGGGCGCACTTCCAGCAACCTAGACAGCTTTGCCATGGCTTGATTGTGTTTAGAGACGTTGAGTTGTACTGTAGCCGACCTTTGATAAGGTTAAGCGCGAAGTCGGCTTAATTTCGGGGCGCTCAGGCGATAAGCTACCGTATTTCCCCACCTGACGCACAGACCCCACCTGACGCACACTTTTTAGTATCTCTTACCTCTTCTAAAATAAGAACTATAACGTACTTTATTAGCAAAAGTCTATAATAGTCTAACTTAGCGCTATAGTCTAACTCGACTTCGCCTAAGTTATATAACTCTATCTAGCGTCTTAGTATAGGTACTCTATATATATAGAGAGCTCTTAAAGTATTCTTCTACTTCTTACCTTTAAATAGCTAAATTTAATCTAATCTACTCTACTAGTATCTCTATTCTTATAGCTTATAAAAATAGTACTATCTATAGCTAACTTATCTAGCTAGATATTCTAGAATACTTATAGTAGTAGAGACTATAGAGCTAGCTTTTATATTATCTAAAGGTTATTATCTCTTTAGCTAGAGATAGTAGTATAATATTAGGCTAAACTAAGTAGTCTTATAAGAAGTATTTACTAATAGATATACTAAGAATTAAAGCTATAAGAGTCTAGTTACTTACCTCTCTAGCGCTATATAAGACTACTAGTAGATCTAGTTAGTAGTAGAAAAGATATCTCTAGTAGTAAGCTAAAGAGAGCTATAAGAGCTCTATATATAAAAAAACTTTTATAGAACTTCTATATATAAAAATCTCTCTATTTTAAAAACTAATAATTCTCTACTCTACTAGTAAAGCTAATAATTAGCTACTACGCTAGTAGTATATACTCTTACTTCTTAAATAAAAAGCTATAATATACTTTATTATTAAATCGTCTATATTATTAAACTATCTAAAAATACTAAGCTTTTACTAAATACTACTATTTCTATTATAAAGCTCTCTATAAACGCTTAATTAATCTTAGATAAATTCTAGATATAGCTTACGCTCTAGACTATTTAATAGAATCTAGAGCTAAGCTTATAACGCGCTATAGCTCTCTATATTATACCTTAGAAGCGCGTTTATAATTAATGTAACGAAGTTACTCTATAACGCGAAAAGATACCTAATTAAATAAAGCTTACTATAAATAAAGAGTAGATAATAGTTAAGTATATACTTAACCTAGATACGTAAGAATTTACTCTCTAGCTTACTACTATTTAAAATATAGCTAACAAGCTACTTACTAAGTAGAGTAAGAAGATAGTAGGCTAAATCTAGCTAAACTACTTTATTATATACTATTCTAAGCTTAAAATATAGCTTAATTATAAGTATAACTATTAGAAAGTAAAGTAAGAAGATTCTATAATTATTTAGACTTAGTTTAATCTAGTAGGTAATATAAAGGCGAAGTATAGCATTACTAATAAAAATATATATAATTTTAATAAATCTAGCTTTATAATAGAAATAATATTACCTTAGATAGTAGTTACTAGCTCTAAAAGATAATTATAACTAAAAAGCCTTTAACTAGATAATTATAAGTAGATTTTAGTAATTATAAGTAGATTTTAGTAATTATAAGTAGATTTTAGTAATTATAATAGTAAGAGTAGTAGGTAATATATAGATTCTACTATTTCTTATTATTATAGATAAGAACTACCTCTTAGTATAGTATAAGAGTAGCTAGCTACTACGTAACTAGATTATAGCTATCTCTAAGAGTAGCTAGATAATAAATAAAGTTAGTATTATATAGTTAAAGTACTTTAATATATATACTAAGAATTATATTATAGATATATATTATCTACTAATTTTAGATAGCTATAAAAGCTATAGCTTAGTTAAATTCTAGTAGTACTATAAGAAGAATAAAATTATAGTTCTCTATATACTAGTATATTTATTATATCTTCTATAGCTATCTAACGTTAGCTACTTCTTACTATTAAAGATAGTATATAGCTACTAAGTTAAGATTCTAATATATAGCTATATTAACTACGTTATAAAAACTAAGTTTCTATCTATATTTTATATAGCTTTTTATACGTTAATTATAAATAATAATATTAGAGTAGAATTTAAAGACGCTAGCTTAGTTCTATTTAATCTAGATTTAGTAGTATTAAAGCTTAAAGTTTAATTACGTATGCTAATACTTTCTACTAATAATACTACTACCTAGAAGTATAAAATACCTAGTAATCTTATTAAAGTAAGGTTCTAATTAACTCTAATTTAATTAAAGATTATATAGTATCTTAATTTATTACTAACTTATATTATTAAGTTACTTAATTAGCTTAAGAAAGGTAATAAGTTAATAGTATATTAGCTAGTACTTATAGAGTCTAAAGTCGCCTAGCTTTAAGTAGCTAACGTATAGAAAAAGAAGTATAATTTACGTAAAAGAAAGTAAATTTAGAAAGAGAATACTCTTATAATTAAAGCTAGCTTATAGCTAGTTACTTAAAGAGAGGTTACAAATTAGAATAAGAGTAAGAAGTAGCGCGAAGAAGTAGTAGCACGTAATAGCTAGCTAGCTTAGTAATACTATAGACGCTATAGTAAGCTAGAGTATAATATATAAATATACTAGGTAGTTAAAGATAATATAGATAAGTTAGATAGCTTATCTAGATTTATCTTAAGTAGCTTAGAGTTAGAGTAATCTAACTAAGATAGTAGCTTTTTAGTAGAGGCTTAGTATTTTTAGGTAGTTTAATAATATAGGTAGTTTAATAATAAAGTATATTACCTAAGTTAAACTACTTAAATACTATAGATAAACTCTTATAAAGTAACTCTAGAGGTAAGACTTTAGTTTTATAGTACCTCTTTACTCTAATAATTTTTAAGTTCTAGATAGAAAATCTACTAGCTAGTTATTCTAATTAATATTATTATTATAAATTCTCTATTTAATAATATAATATAATAACTAATAAAAATTAGAATAATAACTTAGTATAGAAGCTTATATAGCTATATAAAAGCTTTATAATATCTAGGCTATTTACTACTAATAGCTTTTATATACTCTCTACCTTTATAAAGAAGCTTTAAGAGCTTTTTCTAGAAAAGCTAGACAAAATTATTAATAAACTAGTTAGCTAATTATTTATACGCTAGACGCTTAAATAATAAACTTATAATAGTCTAGTTTAGAGATTTATCTTAGTTATATAACTTTAGGTTATATAACTTTATTATATAATCTAGCCTAGCGTCTTAGCGCTTAGTACCTCTATATATAGAGTCTTTTAGAGTCTTTTCTCTACTTCTTATCTTTAGATAGCTAAATTTAACCTAACCTACTCTACTAGTATCTCTATTTATATAGCTTATAAAGATAGTACTATCTATAGCTAACTTATCTAGCTAGATATTCTAGAACGCTTATAGTAGTAGAGACTATAAAGCTAGCTCTTATATTATCTAAAGGTTAATATCTCTTTAGCTAGAAATAGTAGTATAATATTAAGCTAAACTAAGTAGTCTTATAAGAAGCGTTTACTAATAGCTATACTAAGAATTAGAGCTATAAGAGTCTAGTTACTTACTCTAAGAATCTATTAATATACTAATTAATTACTTATCTTTAGCGCTATATAAGTCTACTAGTAAATCTAGTTAGTAGTAGAAAAGATATCTCTAGTAGTAAGCTAAAGAAAGCTATTAAGAGCTCTATATATAGAAGAACTTTTATAAAACTTCTACGTATAAAAACTCTCTCTCTATTTTAAAAATTAATAATTCTCTACTCTACTAGTAGAGCTAATAATTAGCTACTACGCTAGTAGTATATACTTTTACTTTTTAAATAAGAAGCTATACCTAAGTTAAACTACTTAAATACTATAGATAAACTCTTATAAAGTAACTCTAGAAGTAAGACTCTAGTTCTATAGTACTCTTTTACTCTAATAATTCTTAAATTCTAAGTAGAGAACCTACTAGCTAGTTATTTAAAATAATATTATTATTATAAATTACTTATTTAACAATATAATATAATAACTAATAAGAATTAGAATAATAACTTTAAATAGAAGCTAGCACGACTACGCTAAAGCTTAGTAATATCTAGGTTATTAGTAGTAGATAGCTCTTATATACTTTCTACCTCTAGAAAGAAGCTCTAAAAGCTTTTTCTAGAAAAGCTAAG